ATCATCATCTTCATCTTCGTCCCCCCAGAGCCTCTCATCCAGTTTATCATCAGCTTCAGCATTATCAAGATTTCCCATCTGCTTATCCATTTCTTCCTCTTCATCTGAATTTTCATCATTTTCTGTGTACAGTTCAGAATGTGTTTCAGTACAGAAGAGATAAAGCTAACTTTTTTGTTAAGTTCAGAAACAAACAAGCAGTCGTATTTGCACCTCAATTTCATCATCCTATGCAGTTAGTTGGGACATGGAAAAATACACACATGCACCAACACTCAAAGAGCTGGGTCCCAATTATGTGCTTCAGTGTGTTCTCTTGGACATACGGACACACACAGTATTCTCTCCCTCAGACTCGGTGCAAACTTGGATGATTTAAACTCTTCCTTACCCTCTCCCTTTTCCATTTTCAAAATGTTTTGGCATTACTGGGAGAGGAAAGGTCCATTACACTTCATCTGCACAAGTAGTGAAACTCCTAAGATAATAAACCGATAAATTTATTCTCGGCACTTTGTCAGAGATTTGAAAGTAGATTAACACTACTGTAATTTGTAAGCCATATTAGTTTCAGATGTTCAAGCTGCTACCCTTTAAAATGAAGAACTGCTACCTTTTGGGTGAGCAGCATCTTGAATGAATCTACCAAATTTTGCTATTTTTTCCATTTCAAAAAGGTAAAGCTAAATTCTCTTCATTGCTTAAAAGTTAGCAATAGCTTCATTAGTCATGTTTTGAAGTTAGCTACAGCCATATACTCAAGTGTCCTGTTGATCTTCAACACCTCCACAAAGTCAGTGACTAATTTTAAAACGTGCCTATAGGTCAGCTCACAATAGGAAGAAAAAAATCAGTTCTCTTCATTCCAAAACCACCACAGTAACAGAAAAGAGACAGTATTTTCTTTGTACACTTCTTTGTATTCATATTAATACTTCTTAGTATCCATATACAAATGGAACTACTCTATTGCTAACACTGATTTTTCAGTATAAGCTTCATTATATAAGTGTCAACCATTATTGGACTGATCCGTAATATTTCTTATAAATTTGCCATAGTGTCCTGGTTTTAGCTGGGACAGTGTTGGCTCTTCTTTTTAGCAGCTAGAAGAGCTCCGTGTTTTGGTTTTACTCAGAAGCTCGCTCTGAGAAGAATGTCGATAGCAAGCTGATGTTTGTAGTTGGCACTGAGGTCTCTAGGACTTTTCAGCTTGCTGTGTTCTTGCCAGTGTGCAGGAGCAAAACAGGATAAGGGGGGAGCATAGCCAGGACAAGGGGTCCATGACTCTCCTTACGATTTGTACTTGGACTTAAGATTGAGGCCAAACTGGCCAATTAGTATTCCATATCACGCAGCAACATGCCCAGTATAAAAGTGAGGGTCAGCCGGACAGAAGGGCTTTTGTGCTTTGGCTCTTTCGCTGCTTCTACTCTTCCACGCTTGCTGTGCTTTTGCTCTATTGCCTTTTTCCCCCCTCTCTCTCCCAGTACTCCCACTCTCGGAGTACTCTCTCTCTCTCTCTCTGCCCCTCTCTATTTCGGGGCCTCGCGTTCGTCCGGGATTGCAGCTTCGGGACAAGACGGGCTTCGCATACAAGGGGGTGGTGAGCATCTACACTGTGTATTAAATCATCTGTATTAAATTGTTCTTATCTCAACCCACGGGTATCCCATTTATCCTTTAATTCTCTCCCTCATCCCTGGGGCTGGGGGAAGGTGAGTGAACGACTGTAGGGGGGGCGGTTTGGTTGCCGGAGCAGCCTAACCCACGACACATAGTGAAAGGACCAAACCTTTTTTCTCCCGTTCTCCATCATGCATTTTTCCTTCAAAGTCTTCTGACATTTCAATTGCATTGTCTTCTCCTTCAATATCTGGTTTAGAATCTTGATCCTCTTTCTCCTCTTCACCCTTTCGAAAGCTGTCTTCTATCTGAATTATCGGTAAAGTCAAAAATTAAAATGGATCTTGCCTATATATTAAAGCTTACTTGAAGTACCACAACAACATCGTAATCTTATATGCAAAGATAAAAGCCAACCTAAACAGGAGACAGAAGGCAACTTCATGTTTCTTTTACCTGAAACACCTACAACATGGATTTCAAGGATTCTTTTCAGTTTTACTTGAATTAAACAAAAACAACTCCAAACACTTGCCTGATCTTCACTTTCTATTTTGTCGCTCACATCCTTCTTGCCTTCCCCATCTCCAATACCACCGTCCTCGTAATCATGAAACTGTGTTGCTCCCTCTCCAGCTTCATCTTCAAGTAATTCTTTTGGCAGACAAAACCCCTACAGAGGCAAACAGAAACTCAAAACTTTCTGTAGTACTAAGTACAACTTTCAGCTTAGTTTCTACTTAAGACTTTTGTATACATTAAATACATGCTTACCATATATCCCATGTTATCTCCAATAACTCACCTTTTGGGCAAGCTCTGTAAAAATGCTAGTTAGAACAGAAAGCAGTTTTCCAGTACTCCTGTGAGATGCCAGTGAAACAGTGAGGTAGAACAGGATGAGGTCTGAATACTTGCAGAGCATAGGCTTTAGACGCACCAGCAAATAGCAGGTCTGGTTGAGGAACTGCAGTTAAAACCAAAGAACAGCTGTCAAACATGATTAGGTACATTCTGAGATGCACCTCAAGAGAGGGTGGTGATAGAAACTGAAAACAGATGCTCAAACCAGAAATACCAGCAGGCGTGTTTAAATACAATTTCTAAAGTTTCCAGAGCTGCTTCTACATTTTCACAAAATTAATCCTTTTCCTTCTTACTAAAGGAACATCTGGCTTTTGCTCTACAGAAAAGTACCTATATTTGGCCATAATTTCTCACATGCTTCTAGTTCTAAGGTATTGGACAATAAGAACCAATGCATGTTTAACCACCAAAGTTCACAATTCCAAATCTTTTGAGACTCCTAAGCCAAAAACTCTTGAGAAAAAAAAAATTACCTTTTGTTTATCTGAAGTGTAATTTTCCCCGTAAGATTTCAGGCTCTCCAGGAGTTCTGAAACAGCTAAAATAGCTTTCTGCACATGCAAAGAATCCAAATCCGCAGAGAGATCTTCATCCAAAAGCTTAGTTATATGTCCTGCTTTAATCACGTCAAATGAGGCTGTATCCTCTTTATTTGAGATACATAAGAAAAACACGGAAATCAAGTCAGACATTCTAAAAATGTCACAGCAAGCAATCTAGAAATATCCATCCTAACTGTTTTAATAGACAACTACTATTAAAATTGGGGTTTCCTTGTGTATTGGTATCTCTGCTAGACACGCAGTTTAAGGAATTTTTAGTTTGCATAGTTTAAAAGTCTCCTCCTTCCCTTAAGTAAATTAACAAACTTACCATTTTCCTCCGGAGATTTTTCTTCCTCTTCTCCATCACCCTGTTTTCTCTCAACCAAGCACTGGATGGCATACAGAACAACACGGATAACAGTTTCCACTTTTGCTGAGAAGTGCTCCACAAGCTCTTCATCTGACTGCTCCACAAGCTCTTCATCTGACTGTTGATTTCCTTTTGAACCATAACACAGGCAGTTTTACACAGAAACATATTAAATTACAGGTTACTATGTTTCCCCCTATGCAAGGAGGATGATAAGCACTATGCAGTTTTTACCACACAGTTTACTAAACTCTCCTTCCTAATCCTGATCTACAACTATGCTGCAAGATCTGTCATTAACAATGACTAAAGGGGAAAAAACCCATTACTGCACAACTTAAGTCTAGACTAAATTTTAGAAGTTTGAATTTCATCAAGCATTTCTGGATATCCAAATGAACATGGAGACATCTTCTGCAATAACTAACTTAATGAATTCTTATATCTTTAACTAAACTACAAAACGTGCAGAGAAGAATTGTCCTTACCACTGCAATTTGACACGGAAGCAAGAAGCTGTGTTCTCCAGGCTATGAAGTCTGCAGATGTGTTATTAACTACTTCTTGTATATACTTCAGGCTCTTGATTAGGGTCATCTGATTTGCAGCTTGCCTACCACCTTCCGCATTTGGAAGAAACAGGGACTCTATGCCTTGTAACTGAGCTGAGACTTCCAGCAAACAACTCATGGCTGATGTGCAAACTTCAAAATCTCTCCTGCAACAATACCATAACACTGAAAGAACAACGAACACTTCAGTTTAAGATTAAATCTCTTCTTGGGGCAGGGATGAGGGGAAAGCAGCTTGATCTCCATCTTGAACTATTGAATAGGAAGTTTGACAACAAGGAGATGTGCCACTTATACTCACACTGTTTGAAGCGGACAGAAAACAAGAGACATACAAATAGGCTACAGAGCTCTTTAAAAAGAAAAATTCTTTCATTAAATTTAAATTTGAAGTTCACCTCATTAACTAACTAAGGAGCTATGGAGATAAAACCCCAGGAGATCAAAGACAAACTGAGCAGCTAAGATGAACCACTTTTTTTTCCTGACTTGTCAGGGGAGTAGAAGACACATAAAATTGTTTAAAATGCCAGACAATGCATTTTGCAAGAAAATCAAACAGAAACAAACTTCAAGAGCACCTGAACACACTTTTCAAGATACGCATAGGCAAACATTTTCAAGATGACTTCACACATCTTGTAAGAACATATAACACACAGAGATTCAATCTTATGCACATGTAGAACTCACCAGGAATAAAACAAGGTCTCACATGACTGTTGTCTTATTTTGTCCACTTCTGCTTTCATCGCCTTCACGTTTGCCAGCATTGCAGTCAATTGTGTAGAGACCTGCAGCCATAACTGATCCTTACTTCGCATCCTGCATCCAGGAGGCAGCTGCTCAATTGTTACTGGAGTTAGGTACTTTAGCTCTGACGGAATTAGGTCAGGTATTCCCGTAAAAACATTTCCCATCTCAGGTCCTGAACTCTGAAAAACGTTTGTTTTGACATCTGTCCTTTCATTGTTGCTGCACTTTAACTCTTCTTTTGGGCAGCATTGTATAAACCAGGACAGCTCCTCAAGAACCATCACGCACTGCATGGAAAGTTGCTGCAGTTTGTCAGTCCAGCATTGAATACTGTCTTGAGGAGGAAATGCTACATTATATTCTCTGTCAGCCGTCAACCTAGAATCTATCTCTTGGATACAACTCAGGAGGTTCCTGGTTAAGAAGGAAAAAAGAAAGGTTACAATCACTGAGTTTTATGTTACACTTTTCCTTTGAAAAACTCAATCTTTAGACTAAGTTCATAAAAGCTCTAGATAATACGAACTCAGTGAAGTCAAACTTTTTCTGGAAAAAACTAAAATGATAGTGGTTTTTTTTTTAATAAAATTGCTTAATTATTGAATTTTTTCTCTCCATTGCATATGTTTGAGGTGTCCTGAAAACAAGGCTTTGTGAGATTTCTAAGAATCTACACCATGTTTTCAAAGTCTTAAACTCCTGGCCTGACACTCAAATATTATTCATTTTCCTTCATTATAAAAGCAAATCAGACTCTAACACACCTTCATTGTCTGAAGTGCTGTATAATAGTCAGCTCATAACAAATGATTAATCTGATTCTAATTGTCCTGCTTTTGGCTGGGACAGACTCAGCTGTTAGAAGAGCTCTGTGTTTTGGTTTTAGTCTGAGATTTGCTATGAGAAGAATGCTGACAGTGCACTGACGTTTATAGTTGGTACTGAGACCTCAAGGACTTTTCAGCTGCTGTGTTCTTGCCAGTGTGCAGGAGCACAACAGCCTGAGGAGGAGCATAACCAGGATAAAGGGTCCACAACCCTCCTTATGATTTGAACTTAGCTTTAGGATTGAGGGCTAAATTGGCCAATGAAGTATTCCATGCCATGCAGTGTCACGCCCAGTATATAGGTGGGCATTGACTGGAAAGAAGGGCTTTTGCACTTTTGGGAGGCTCTCACTCTTGGAGTGCTATCTCTCTCTCACTCTCTTTTCGGGCCTCTTGCTCATCTGGGATTGCAGTGTCAGGAAGGAAGGGATGCCATCCAGAGGGACCTTGACAGGCTGGAGAGGTGGGCCTGTACAAACCTCATGAAGTTCAACAAGGTCAAGTGCAAGGTCAAGTGGGTCGGGGCAATCCCAAGCACAAGTACAGGCTGGGCGGAGAATGGATTGAGAGCAGCCCTGAGGAGAAGGATAAGAACCTCATCATGAGCCGGCAATGCGCGCTTGCAGCCCAGAAAGCCATCTGTATCCTGGGCTGCATCAGAAGAAGTGTGGCCAGCAGGTCAAGGGAGGTGATTCTGCCCCTCTACTCTGCTCTCGTGAGACCCCACCTGGAGTACTGCATTCAGCTCTGGAATCCCCAACACAAGAAGGACATGGAGCTGCTGGAGCGAGTCCAAAGGAGGGCCACAAAAATGATCCAAGGGCTGGAGCATCTCTTCTATGAACACAGGCTGAGAGAGTTGGGGTTGTTCAGCCTGGAGAAGGCTCCAGGGTGATCTTATAGCAGTCTACCAGTACTTAAAGGGGGCCTACAAGAAAGCTGGAGAGGGACTTTTACAAGGGTATGTAGTGATAAGACAAGGGGCAATAGCTTTAAATCGAAAGAGGGCAGATTTTGATTAGATATAAAGAAGACATTTTTTACAATGAGAGTGGTGAGGCACTGAAACTGGTTGCCCAGAGAAGTTGTGGATGCCCCACCCCTGGAAGTGTTCAAGGCCAGGTTGGATGAGGCTTTGGGCAACCTGGTGTAGTGGAAGGTGTCCTTGCCTGTGACAGGGGGGTTGAAACTAGATGATCTTTGAGGTCTCTTCCAACCCAAACAGTTCTATGATTCTATGACTTATCTGTTTCAGGACCGTTTGCCAGGATGCGACAGGCGTTGGTCACCAGTTGGTGAGTAATTACACTGTGCATCACTCGTCTCTATATATTACTATATATGTGTATATTCATACCATATTGTTATTATTAAGTTGTTCTTATCTCAATCCATGAGTCTCCTTTGCTTTTCCTATTTACTTCTCTTTACCATCCCCTGGGGTGGAGGAGGATGAGTGAGCAGCTGTGTGGCGTTTAGTTGCCGGCCAGGCTAAATCACAACAGCAATGAAAGTCATAGAATCATAGAATTTTTAGGTTGGAAA